GAGAAGGCAGCCTATTAATTAAGAAAACAGAATGTAGAATTGCAAATCCCCAGAATGAGATTGGTAAAGAAGCTTGAAACATAAGGGCTCTAGCAACAGCCAATATATGTTGGTGTTTCCTCTCAACACGACCATTTTGTTGAGAAGAAGCTACACAAGTTGTTTGGTGTACAATACCAAACGTATTATAGAAGGATGGAATATTAAATTCTTGACCATTATCTGTTCTTATTGTTTTAATTTTAGATGAAACTGAGTGTTAACAAAAGCTGGCAGATCTAACAGGATTTTCCTAGCCTCACCCTTTGTTTTCATTAGATAAACCCAAGTATGACGTGAGAAGTCGTCGACACAGGTAAGGAAATAACGAAAACCATCAACCGTGGGAGTCTGATATGGTCCCCATATATCAATATGAAGTAATTCAAAAGGAACAAGAGCATGAGATACACTGGAAGGAAACGGAAGACGCTTTTGCTTTGCTAAAGGACAAACAGTACAAGGATTTTTGGTACTACTAACAGAATGTTTACCATCTTTGCCTAAGATACGAGATAAAGGAATGGCAGTATGGCCAAGCCTATAGTGCCAAATATCGAAAGGAACAAAAGCAGTATTGAAACAAACATTACATGAAGATAGTTGTGACTTAGGAAGAGTCATGTTGAGATGATATAGGCCAGATTCTTGCTTAGCTGTACCAATCGTTTCGTGGGATGAAAGATCCTGAATTAAGCAAGAATCGGCAGTAAATTGTAATGAACAGTTTGATGCCTTGACAAGTTTAGAGACTGATATAAGATTAAATGTAAAAGCAGGGATATATAGAACAACATATAGAGTGAGCTTAGGAGTGATTTGAATGTTCCCTATATGTGAAACTTGAACTTTTTCACCATTTGGTAAAGAAACAGAAACATTATTGATGGTTTTATATGTGTGGAATAGATGCAAAACAGACACAACGTGATCAGTAGCACCACTATCTACTATCCAATCCATGTGTGTTAAGACTGAATTGATAGAGGATAGAATCATACCGGTATCTTCTGTGGAAACAATGTTGATCCCAACATGTTGAGGAATATAACCAGAATCAGCAGGCTGAGGGACTATGCCTGAATTAGTAGTCCGAGGAGCAATACCAGAATCAGCTAAAGTAGGAATGGGGGCTTCTGGTGTGGAAGTAATCTGTCTTGCCGAAGTGACTAGATTAGCTACAGGAGTAGCAGAAGGACGCTGCACTTGCTGAGTCTGAGTCTGATTAAGGAGAGACTGATACTGGGCTCTAGTAAGCACCACAGAATCATCAGCAACCACACTAGTAGGTGGAATAAGGGACTCAGAGTCTGTCATAGCAGCATTGACCCGTTGATGCTTATATCCAGGAGGATAACCATGGATCTTATAGCACCGATCCACTGTATGCCCATAACCTTCGCAATGAGTGCAGTAAGGCCGCTTCTTACCACCACCAGGACCTTGAGAAGAAGACCCCTGACCCTTGCCCTGACCAGACTGCTGTCCTTTTGACGTTCCATGAGCAGCAAGAGCCGTAGGAAGTGACGAAGGCAAACCAGACTGCCTTTCATACTGAGCTAGGCTAGAGAACACCTTATTGATAGAAGGCAATGGGTCATTCAACAATAGCTGAGACTTGACATGAGCAAAACTCTCATTCAACCCTTTCAGAAACCGAATAACCTGATCCCTACGCACATACTCACGTGGAATCGAAAAAGCAGAACAAGCACACTTAGGGTTGCAAACACAGACAGGGAGAGGCCTGAGAATCAAGAATTCTTCCCATAACACCCGAAACTTGGTAAAATAAGCACTGATAGACATCGAACCTTGTTTGAGAGCAGCAATCTCATCATAGATATCCGAAATTCGGATCTCATTACCTTCACTGAAACGCTCTCGAAGGTCCTCCCAGGCTTCCACAACTGTGTTGAACCATAGAATGCTCTGTGCAATCTCGGGTGTGACTGACCGCTGAATCCATCCAAGCACGAGAACATTAGCCTGATCCCAAGCACTCCAGAGAGGATCATCTGGCGACGGGACTGGTGAACCAAAATCGATCAGCGGGAGCTTGTTTCTGGCATGCAACCCCATTCGCATCGACCGTGCCCAGCTGTGGTAGTTGGATCCAGAAAGTAACACCGTCACAAGCTGTTGAGCAGAGAGGTCACCATTGGCCACGAAAAACGGATGCGCCGGTGAAAGCAACGCTCCGATAGATGCCGAACCACCAGCCATCGCGCTAACCGGAGGAGCACCCGACGCAGGAGGAGCACCCGACGCAGGACCAGAAGACGACGAGCAAAACGTCGCGTTGACAGCGGAGAAAGACGCCATCGATCTAGATCTCAGAAGTGCGAAAGAACTGACTGAGACGCAATCAAGAATCACAATCGTCGGCGAAGAACGAATCGATGATCGCCGCAGAGAAACGAACGAGCCAAAGAATCAGAGAATCGCGGAAACAGAAAACGGAAACTGGATCGAATCGATCAAAGAACGATCGAGAAGCAGAAACAGAGGAGAGAGAAAGGAACGAGATGTTCACTTCTCCTGGAACCCTCGAGAAACCACAAGAAAATGACTGAATAGTCAAAGAAAACAAGAAAGGTGTGATGCACCCTCTGATATCATGTCGTTTAGAGAAGCCTTCAGGCAGATTTTTATTAATTGGGAAAGAAAAGTTACAATATCCATTACATCTCCATCTATATATACTAAATACTAAATACCTATACAGTACTTATAATATAATCAATTTACAATTAAACCTATGAACTAAGTAAACCTACATCTAAGTCCTCGTCGTTTCCTCCTTGGACAACTGAGTTAGTAGATTGCTTAGGGTTCTCTGTAATTAGGTTGAGCCCTAACTAATATTAGTAAGATAACATTCACTTCACTGCACCTTGAATTCGAATTTTGGAGTCAACAATCATCTAAAAGTATATAGCTTGTGTTTGGCCCATAGACCAGGAAACCGGATCGTACCGGACGGTTCAACCGGTTTAACCGGAAATTGGACCAAAAGCGGCACGGTGGGCTGATTGTGCTGATTTTACCGTGCCGGCCGGTTTTTTCGGTTTGACCGGTTGAACCGGTTGAACCGGTCGGTACGATCCGGTTTCCTGGTCTATGATTCAGCTTCATTCTCCGTATTCTTGTTCAATATGTGGAAAATAATTAAAAAATAATATTATTTTGCTATTTTTCTATGTTGAAAATGGGTCACCGTGGTTGTATAATGCTTTATTTGGTTCTTTTTTTGATGGATTATATTTTTTATACTATCGCATTTCATTTCTCTATCAATAGTGAAAAACGGTATTTACCGGTACAAAATGGTTGAACCACGGTCGTACCACAAAATACCATACCAGAAAGGAATCCGGTATGATGTCCGGTACGGTTTCCTTTACCATCTAAAATTGTGGCTTTGGAAAAAGCTAAAATCTACCTTTTACGGACATAAAAATATAGCTTTGATTCAGAACTTTTATGATTTTGTTTTTGAAAATGCAAAACTATACTTACCAATTTTTAATTCTATTTCCATAAAAATAATTTTCTTTTATTTACTTTAAGAACTAAAACAATATTATTAAGTAATATACAAGAATCTAACAAAATCTATTTTAACTATTTTTAAATTTCTGAAAATATTTTCTAATAGAAATCTTCTTTAGACATTTCACACGCTCTTTATATTAAAAATGTAATTCCAGTAGTTTAACAAGCAAACACTCAAATACTTTTTATTAAAAGTACTTTCGTAAAAACTTCCGTCATAAGCTACTCTTTCAAGTGTTACCGTAAGGTCAAAACTAACTCATATATATGTGGGGAAAACCCAACTGAAATGATATGATGATTTTCCTGAAAACAAAATCCCATTGCAGGTGAGTTTTTCTCATGAGCCCTAACCTTTAGGACATCAATTAAAGCCATATTATGTAGGCTTTGGATCGAACCTCTGAATTTAAAATGAAAGCGCAGGAAATAGTCATATCCATATGATAGAGATTAGCATACATCCAACGACATAACATACACTAATTACAATATGATTGTTTCGATGTACTTCGATGAATTGAAATCGTCAATTAATATTTCTTATCAAATTGTTCTTAGGACTATAGGCTAATTAAAATTCACCTACTCAAAGTCAAGATATATAATATAATATTACAAATTCCCATCAATTCATGTACATCCTCTCGTACTACTATGTCATGTATCAAATGATAAAAAAGAAAATCAAACACTACAACTAGATACGAGACCGGAGCAAAATATATACTAAAATGCTAATGACTTTTCTTTTACAAGGAATAAAAAAAAATGGTAATGACTGCCAGCCTAAAAAAAAAACATGTTTTTTTGAGATATACAAGTTAGGACAAATTGGTCAGTTCGATTAAGATTTCGCGAATTTCAAACCCTAGTAAAATATCGAATGGTCAATGATACTGTCTCTCTTAACCTTGGATTGGTCGCCAGTAAATTGGAAGCAGTCGCCAGTAATAACGAGCCAGCCAGCTGGTACAAACAGAGTAAAGGAAGAAAAAAAAAAGTAACTCGACACGTGGGCCCGACCGAAATGGGAACGCCCAGAGTCGCAGCAATTTGCATAGTAAAGGTGTCTCAGAGAAAGAGGGCCCCCAACCTTCAATAATAGAAGTCGAGGCGGCAGGCAGGCCAGGCCAGGCCAGGCTTTCTGAATATTGAATAAACAAACACCTTCCTTATCAAGATCAAACCCCAATCCAAAATCGAACTCAACAACAGAATCTCCCCCCACTCGTGCCGGCGACCCAGAACTTAGTTCAACCACCACACACCCAACCAACCACCAAAATCTCTCTCTCCTCGACCGAGAAGATATGTTTCCACCTGCAGGCAACGACGACGGCGAATACGGGCCGGCCCAACCACCGGGCTATGTGGATCCGGATCCTCAGGATCTCATCACCATGATCTGGAATGCTGGTGGCGACGACGTCATCACTGCCGAGGGCTATAACTACTACTCCTACCACCACCACCAGCTGGAACAAGGCGGCGGCCAATTCGTCGACCATGGATTAGGTCAAGCAGCAGAACTACTCCACGCTCCTGCTCTTGCTGCTGGTGGGAGCAGCGGTGGACATGGTGATGATCAGGATGGAAGTAAGAAGAAGGTGAACCGGAAGGAGATCGAACGGCAGAGAAGGAAGCAGATGTCGACCCTCCATTCCTCCCTCATTTCCCTCTTGCCACACCACTCCCTCAAGGTATATGACAGATTTCGGGCACAACTCTCTTTAACTCAGATTAGGGTGTTAACATGTCATCACTCAATCAACAAACCGCTTCTAATAACAACTCGAGTTTTTGGGAGAGGTAGATGTATGGTATGTAATCATTTCTGTACACACTACTTTCTGAACCGAAAACAAAATTCGTTGACTTGAAGTCTGCATATGCCAATTATACGATATGCTTAAAGGCAACGTTTGTTTAGTATTGGGGTCGTGAGGATTTGAACACTTGACTCTAAAAATAAACAAGCTCTGTATCAGTATATCATAAACCAAATTATTCCAATAACTCAAGTTGTCGAGAGAGGCTTGTACAACACTTAACTATTAACGTGAGTCGGTTTCTTGTGTTGTCAGGGAAAGCGGTCGATGTCGGATCACATGGGGGAGGCGGTGAATTACATCAAGCACTTGGAGAGCAACATCGGGGAGTTGAGCAGCAAAAGGGACAAGCTCAAACGATCCTCATCATCATCAGCTGTCGACCAGCAGCAGCACTCGACCAACACTACTGATCAGCAGTTAGCAGCAGCAGGTGGAAGCAGGAGGAGGAATGGGTCCGGCAGCAGCGTGACGGTGCGCCCACATTCGGCTGGGGTGGAGGTGGTGACGAGCAGCGATAAGGGTGGTGGGTTCGAACTGTCGAGGGTGGTGGAAGCTGTCATACAAGAAGGCTTCGATGTCACCAGCTGTGTTTCCACCCAAAGGCAAGCCCGCTTCTACAACACTATGCAGTGCCAAGTACGTATTAGTTAATGGCGATACTCAGCTCATATATAGTAGAATAGATTCAACGTGGTTTGGTACGTAACCATTAAAAAAAAAAAAAAAAAATTTGTGTCTTGTGCAGGCTAGTGCGGCTAATAGCTATATCGATCTGACAGCGCTGGAGCGAAAACTGAACCATGTTTTATCATACCAGTGAGACATATATGCATGGCATGGCATGGCGATTCAGTAGTTTCTTCGTGGGTTGCATGATATAGGGTGTTGTTGTAGTAGTGAGTTGGCTGATTAGGTTCGACTAGATCTTATTTTTCTTCTTCTTTTGGATTTGTGATGAATGAGTGAATGAGTGTTTCCAAGGGATCGAGTCAGTTGGTTAGATAAAGTTTACCAGTTTCCTCACATTACATTTATGGTGTGTGCTTTGTTGAGTAGTGGCTTGCTTGATTTGGAGTAGGGCAAAGAAGTGTTGTGGTTGTGGGGTTGTGGCCTCTTTGTTGGCTTGCTGCAATGTCTAATACCAATGCTAGATCGGATTTATATATATCCATTTAACTTCAAATCCAAATAAGAAAGTGGTTATCGATATAACCTGGATAGATAACTACAACGGTACTTTTATTATTCATACATGATCGATTTAGGTGAATACTATATAAGCGTATCATGGATTTTTCTCATTTACATATAAATGTTCACTGAATATAGCACGAGCTCTTAATAAATCAACCTATCCATGCACATATTTTTTTTTTCAATCAAGGAGATGTGCACTTGTATATATATTAAGTTACTAACCGATGGTATGGAAGGAATTGATGAAGATGATACCTAGCTAGCTAGCTATCAAACACATTTCCAATGCTTCAAGCTTAGATTAGTTGGAGATATGTTTTGATTGTCATGGTTAGGGTTTGGAACTGGTTTTGCCCTTATCTTGAAGTGGTTGCACTTCAGAAATCGTAGTCATATATCATCATGCATGTATTTTTAATGTTCATTAGATGTAAGAGTTAACTATACACTTGTGAAACCATCTCAAAGTGATCATGAGTTGTCAAAACTGAGAGAATATATACTACCCTTCTCTTTTGGAAGATTAGGTGGGTGGATCATTGATATTATTTCCCTTTCTCTAGCAATCTCTTTTTGGTTTCTTTAGTACAATACAAGCTATATTTAACAAAAAAAAAATGACAAACAATACATGAGATATAAGGATGCTATATATATGATTTGCAAGTACACCAAAAGGAGTTCTCTAGCTATGTCCATTATTGGGGATGGATCCTAGCAAGAGTTTTTAATTGTATTTCAGATTATATCCTTGTGATTTGGTCATCATAATCCCAGCTACTACTTCAAGTATTTTGATTCTTCTAGTTTTCTGGTGATTTTATACTACAATGGTGCTAAAACTATGTTATAGCATTATATTGAACTCATCTAGGTTTTTGGTAGACATACAAGTATGGATTACTTAAATCACTTTAGGAGATTTTGTTCAACACGTAGTCAGGATACGATTTTGTGTGGATTATGTTCTGGTTTGCTTGTTATTTCCGCCTTGTTTTTGTTTCTTTATTGGGTGGTGACACCTAAAATTAATTTGGCCTGAATTAAATGCCGCATTAATTAGTTTCGGCACTTAATTCGATACCGCGGATAAAAAACGGTGTCGTTTTGAGTCGAGCAGCGTCGTGGAGAGTTAAACCGATACCGCGAAACAGAAAAATGGTACCGCAAGGAGGCTCAGCGGTAGCGCAGCACTGGAAACGACACCGCTTACCGAAAAACAAAAGGGGCCGCGCGTTTAGTGTGGGTGTTGGAGAAGGAGTTTTTCTAATTAATTATTATTTTTATTCCTTGTTGGAAGGGGAGAAGCGGTACCGCATGAGGACAAGCGGCATCGCGAAGAGTTAAAACGGTACCGCGGATTTAAAAACGATGCCGCGAGAGGCCTTGATAAGCGGTGCCGATTAATTAAAAAACCACATCGGGTAAGTGATTGGCCCAAAAATCCGCCCAGCCCAAACGTGCAAAATCGCGGCAATTTAATACGTTGGTATTTCTTTTTATTATTTTAGGCGACGTGGTTTAAATCAAAACGGTACCACGAGTAGGCCCAACGGTGCCACGGTACTAGCAAACAACAGTGTTGAAAATAAACAGTGTCGCGGAGAAAAAAAAAACAAACGGAGCTGATTGGGGAAGAAGCGACACCGCAAGGCTGCGGAGTCGTTTAATATTAAAACGATGTCACGGGTAGCTAGAATCAAGCGGTGCTGTTTAGCTAAAAACGACATCGCTTAAGGCATCAACGGCGCCGCGATATCACTAAGCGATGTCGTTCAGTTAGAAACCATACCACAGCGGGTTGGATTTTGGCGAGGCTCGGCAAGCCCAACGGCACTGCAACACGAGAAAAACGGTACTGTTTGGTAGAGAACAATGTCGCGGAATGGAAAACGACATTGTTTGACGGGATCGGGATAGAGCAGTTCAAGGTCGGCATTGATTAGTGAAAAGCGATGCCGCGGAAAGGTAAAAACAACACTGCGGTACTAGGAAAGAAACGACCTTGTTTAGTCAAAGACAATGTTGCAAGAGTTTAACAATGCCGTGAAAGTGATGCTGTTTTGGCTAAAACAAGGTCACGAGCTCGACGACGTTGATGAGCTTTAGTTCAGTGTTGAAAAACTCAAAAACACCGTGAATTCAATAAAGTTGGGCATCAATGGTGGGAATTCGACGATGCCGGGATACTAAGAGCTACGTTGTTTAGAGAGCAATGTTGTAAGCCATGAATCACCCTCGAAAGTGCCATAGATATTGTGTGTGCATCGATGTTGCAAGACTGGGAGCTCAGCGTTGCGGTGTTGTTTGTGATACGCCGCTGTTTTATGAAAAAGGATGAATGTAGTTTGGCTTGAGGAGTCGGGGTGGATTTTCGAACCCGGATGGATAACTACAAGGGTGGCTCAATGTCGTTTTGCCAAGTTGCTGCGTAGCAGAGCGGTTTCGCACTCGTGGGAGTTACGCAACAAGGAGGAAGTTACCCGCACGGTTGACAGGAATGAAGAACGTGGGAGACAAATGCGCGAAGGCAGTTACTACGACTGCGGGTAGAAGAGCGACGTATAAAGATTGGGATGAGAGAGAAGCTCAGGACGGCAAAATCAAATCACAAACTGCACCGTCGCAGAATCTATCTTTTTCTCTCTAGTTTCGTAGAACCGCTCTGTCAAAGAACTCCTTTGCAGAGTCGTAGATCTTAGCTTGTAGTCGTAGTCGCGGAGCTCTCCAGAGGAACCTCCATAGGAGTAGAGGTAACGTAACTTAGCACACTCTGATGACTTGATATATACACATGTTTTTGTCCACCATTCTTATATCGTTTGAGTCTTATTTCTCGTGTTTTAGGCCGATTTCACGCTAGGTTGTTCTTGTTTGTGATATTTCAGGTCCTAGTACGTGAATGAAGGCTTGGGCGAAGATTGGCCGTGAAACATCCCACTACTTTGAACTTGGAAAAAGACATTTCTACCCCGGGGTATAATTCAAAATATCAAATAACACGACTTTAATTAAAATACCAAACTCAAACATCTTAATATCTCAAATCGTAGCCCTAAACAAGTGGGCAAAACTTAAATCGTGCATAAGAAATGAATCTCCAGTCTTTAACTCTTAACCATAAAGTCTTAATAACTTGAAAAGTTCTCCGATGATTACTCTGACGCCTGACTCGACATCTCTCAGCGACGATGGTGTTGAGCTCCTCTAGCTTGCTGATCACGGACTGGCTGGTTAGGATTTCCTCCTCTACGATCTGGTGAGTGAGTTGGGGTCAGTCTACGCCTTACTTAAACTTGAAACACCTACGGTTATTCTCCGGAAGCTCACAACAAACTTGAGAAAGTGATTTCTATACTCGTCTTTCGAACTTTAACTCTTGAAAAATGTATCATTTCGTCATTTAGCTTACTTTGGGGCCCCTACCTCGTCTTAGCTGGCGCCACTGCTAGCCTTACTTACTTTCTTAAACATGACTACCCTCACAATGGGGTGCCCCTCAAATGGGTTTGAACACCGCAGAACGAATCACCATCCGGTGTCAAACTACGGTGTGACTACCGCGGAACGTATCACCATCCGGTAGCACACCTAAACCGAGGCAATGGATACCGCGGAACTTATCACCGTCCGGCTCCACGCCTGACCAACTACTGCGGAACGTATCACCATCCGGTAGTGATCAACTACCGCGGAACTTATCACCATCCGGTAGGAATCCTTCTAGCTAGTGGCTAGCTAAGCGAGGCTAACTTATTCTTACTCGTGACTTTCTCTTGTTCTTATCACCCTAACTTATTAAGCGGTGAAGTATTAAAATACTCTTTCTTAAACGTCGTATGAAAAGAAACTTAAATGCTTAAATGTAGATATTGAAACGCTCAAACAATAACTCAAGTCGAAGCATGCATAATCAACACAATCATAAATCAAGCAGTGCACATAAACTTCACGTAAGACAAATACTTAAAACATGTAAGGCAAATACTTGAAAATACGTAAGGCGTAGAATTTACCCCCTTTACACTCACCTTATATCCGTCGAAACCAACTCTGAATCTGCTCTAAAATTTCCAAACTTGCTCCAATTAAATTCTCCTCGTTCTCACGATTCCACAGGCCTTGACGATTTCTCGTTCGGACGTCAATTGATCGAGTTATGACCAAATTAAACATTGTGTCAGTTTAAAAGTACTAGGTACCAAAACTGTAATTTTCGAGTCGGCACAGTTGACCACGACCTCTCTGGAACAATTACACATTTAATCCTCTAACTTCTCGAATTGCCAAGACTGATACCTGAACTGTCCGATTTGCGTCCCAAACTTTCGAGGCTCGTATCTCCCTCGTCCGACGTCGAAACTCAATTCCGTCAAGACCGCGCTGCTCCAGGGATCGTCTTCTACGCCATGGTACCAAGGTTTTGAAGCTTGGTTGAATTCGATCATGCCGGG